GGGGGGTTGGGGCTGGGGGTGTTAAATCGGTTTAGTGCTGAGATAACAGTTTCCGTCCGCGCTTTATGAGCCCTTTTCCCCCGCTCACGTTGCCCTCCCTCCTCTACTCCGCGATGGCTTGTGACATACCTGGGCGATATATTAGGTAACGCGTACGTGCACGGGCGGGGGAGGGGGGCGTGGCCACGCCCGCGATGCCCTCTGCCTGCCCGCACGCCCACGACGACGAGGCCAAAGACCACGCCGTGTTATATTTTTTTTCTTCACAACCCTTATTTACTTCTGTTCTTATTTGTGTGTGCTTTGCAGACTCGGAGCAGTCGCCGGGCGTGTACCTGCGGGACGACCCCGTGCTCGGGACGCAGCTGCAGAACCACTGCGAGCTGCGGGTGCCGTCTGCCGAGCGCGCCGCCCACTACCTGGACTGCGCGCTCGCGGCGCGCTCGGACGAGGAGGCGCACCTGCTCTTCACCCTGCACGTCTACCAGTACAGCGTGGCGGGCAAGGGCGGCGGTGAGTCAAGTGCTAGTCACACACTTGCAGTTGAATTACAGGTGTTTAGGAGTGCAACCCTCTTGCACGTGCATTTCTGACTGGCTTTGTGTTGTTTGCAGTGGCGGGCGGGCGCAGCCGACTGCACCTGGTGGACCTGGGCCGGGGCGCGGGCCAGGGCGGCGGCACGTCGTCGTCGCAGGGCCTGTCGCTGTCGAGCCTCGGCCACGTGCTGCTCGCCATCTTCAACGGCCAGAAGCACCTGCCGCACCGCGAGCACCGCATCACGCAGCTGCTCAAGGAGTGCCTGTCGCCCATCACGTGCCACGCCGCCATGCTGGTGCACGTGGCCGCCGGCCAGCAGGGCCAGCACCAGGCGTACGCCGAGACGCTGGCCACGGTGCAGCTGGCGAGCCGCATCCACCGCATGCGCCGGCGCAAGATCAAGTTCCCCAGCCAGAGCACGGCCTGCGGCCCGGGCCACGGCCTCGGACACGGCCTCGGCCTCCACGGCGAGCAGGACATGCAGCAGCGCGGCTCGGACCTGGAGCCGTCCTCGTCCGAGCAGTCGGCCGACACGGTCATCTACGTCGGGCCGGCCGACGACGCCACCGACGGCGAGCACCCGCCCGTGTACCTGCCCGGGCTGGGGGAGGGCGACCACCGCGCCGCCATGGGCCGCGCACTGCGGGGCTCCAGCGCCGAGCACCACCGGCCGCACGGCTCGCCCGGCCCCACGCGCGCGCGCACCAAGCAGACCAACAGCCCCAAGTCGTCGCCCGTCAGGAACGCGTCGTCGGCAAAGTCGTCGCCGGCCAAGTCGGCCGCCGGGAAGACGGGCGCCGCTGGCGGCGCGGGCGGCGCGGAGGAGCGGTGGATCGACGGCCCCCGGGTGTCCAAGTCCAGGGTGGTGGAGGCGCGGACCCTCATCCTGAAGGAGGGCCACGCCAAGAGGGAGACCTGGGTGGACGGCCCGCTGCAGCAGAAGCACGCCCCGGGCGGCAACGGGCTGTCCATCCTGGGCAACGGCAACGGGCCCGCGTCCGGCAACTACGGCTTCATGGACTCGCACAAGAAGTCCATGATCCGGAAGTGGGTGGAGAATCAGACGGTGCACATGAAGCAGATGGGGGTGATACAGGACGTCGCCGACGACGTCGGTGCGGCGCTGGCGGCCGCCGCCGCCGCTGCTGCGGCCGAGTCGGAGAACGACGACGACGGCCTCGTCGACCCCAAGTTCATGGCCGACGGCCGGCACGGGCGCGCCGTCAACGGGCGGTGCGGGAGGCTGTCGTCCGGGGTGCGGCACCGGCACGACGAGGAGCCCACCAGGGTACGCTGCGCCGAAATCCGGCGGAACATCAGCCTGGAGCCCGCGCCCGCCACGGGAGGTGAGCGGATCTCTTATTTTCGCTGTGTATGGAATTGGACTCGGCTTGTTCTACTCCCTGGCCGCATTCCAGTCGCGGCTGCCTGCTGCCTTCCCTCTAAATATGTATCGCGGCCCGCGCCCCCCGGGCCCGCCCCCCGCGCAGCCAGCGGCGCCGTCGCTCGCTTTCAGGAATTTTTGAAATTTGAGAAACGTCCTCTTCTCGTTCGCGTGCGGCGGCATTCTTCCCCGACCCCTCCTCCTCCTCCTCCTCCTCCTGGCCCCATTCCGCTTAATGTCGGAGGCCTTGCCGGTGGCGGCCGCCCGCTGCTGGCGAGAGGGACGCTGCTGCTGCTGGCTTGCGGATTAATTTTGCGTCCAACAACGACATCCGCCCCGTTTTCCGGTCCGTTTCGAGCCAGCAGAGTACAGAGGGTAAAAGAGTCCTCCGCGTACTAGTGGAACGTTTCGTTTCATGTTTCTCTGGCGGGGCGCTGTCGTGGTCCGCACGTGTTTGCCGGTGCGGAATGTGCGCCGGTGGCGTGCGGGGACGCCGTATCCCCCGGCCGCGCGGCCCATGCAAAAAGCGAACTGGAATGCGGCGCTGGATTAGCCGGGATCCGTATCTTATGGCCTGTTGCCTGGAAAGAGCCGTCGTCGTCCACACGCAGCGGCTCTTTAGCTGCGTGTTGAGCATTTTTAGCCGTTTTATGTGACGTTTTTTGTTGTCGTTTGCGTTTGTTTTCTGTAGGCAAGGAGCTGCAGAGGCCGGACCACCTGTCGCTCAGCAGCACGACGGCGAGCGACCGGCTGGCCCCGGGCGCGCTCCCCGTCGACCAGACTGCCGCCGCCGACGGGTCGGGGGCGGCCTCGGGGGCCGCCTCGGCGGCAGCGTCGGAGGCGGCCAGCGACTGCACCAGCGTGACCGACGAGTCGGCCGGCGGCGACCTACTGGACGAGGACATGGACGAGGACATGCTCCTGGAGGTGACCAACGTCGGCGACGACGTGGAGATCATCGAAGTCCTGGAGCCCGTCGAGCCCGTCCCCATGGTGGACTGCTGTCTCCAGGTGAGCGCGCGTTCCCCGGAGCGAGTCACGGGCGTCCTTTTTGTTGATGTTGTTGTTATACTGTTGTTGTTCCCCTACCCGCGCTGCGCTCTGCTCTCACTTTCCCGATGCCATCTTTTTACAAATAGTCCCCATTTATAAGGGCGCATGCACGTCGTGCACGTGCTGCGATTGGATTGCGCACATGTGCGGCTTGGCTCGGGGCGCCGCCGGGGGCTTTGCGAGGCGTAGCAGCACACCGCAGCAGGCGCCCCGCCCATTCCCCCGTCTCAATCGCGACTCGCGAGCTGAGCTGCGTCGCCAATTAATCGGAACCAGCGTGACTCCTCCTAGGCGCAGCAGGCGCCCCGCCCACCACCGGCGCGAGCCGCCCGCCCCTCCGCGGTGACGGCCCGGATGTCCTGCCCCGCCCGCCCCGCGGGGGCAGTCCACACGTGCGGGAGGCGGGGGGAGACTTAATCCGGGGGAAATCGAAAGTCGATGAGCACGACGAAAGTGCGAGGCACAGGAGGCACATGAGGTGCAGCGGCAGCCCAGCCCAGGGGGG